ATTTCACAGGCCTACCGTAGGTAAACATAGAAAGAGCAATACAGTAATGCTAAAACTCGAGCGTCACGACATTGCGAAGTGTCTGATCTTGTTCCTCGTATCGTACTCACTCGAGTCAATCCGAGATGGCCCGAGTGAAGTTTCATGTAAATGTTTCGTACGGAAAAAATAATCGCGGCCCGGGCGCCAGGCTTGGTGGGGTGGGGGCGCTGCAATGGGAGAATGAGAGTAAAAAAAAGTAAGCATTTATGTATGTCGTCAGGCATTCATTTTTTCCAGTTAATAAGAAGAATCTGAATGTCGTTTTTATTGGCAAATTTACAGATTGTGATTTCTTTTCATTCCATTTCGACTGTTTTCTCTTGTTTTTTTTTTATCCTATTCTGTAATGTCTAAATGACTAAAGTTCATCCTGCCATATTTCAGATCCACGATTGGAAACGCGAGACTATCTGCTTTGGCACTACTTAGTGAGCGTGATGAAGCAGACAACATTGCTTATTTGCTGATGCAAAAACACACACAATTCAGTTGGGAGTTTGAATAATGTTAAAAATTCAGCAACTTACAAGACTCTGCTATAAAATAAATTTAGAGAATAAGAATACTAGCTTTATGAGATAAATACAACAGCCTTACAAATTAGGACATATGGTAAAGTTGTATACAAAGTTCCGAACATCGAATAATGCGGTTTCAATAGTAAGAAACAGGGGTGGCGTCAGGCTCCCCTTCGGGGATAGTTTTCTCTTGTTTTTTTTATCCTATTCTGTAATGACTTCATGACTAAAGCTCATCCTGCCATACCTCAGAGCCACGATGGGAAAAGCGAGACTATATTCTGCTTTGGCACTACTTAGTATTGAATAGTATTCTTAGTATTGAATTTTCGGGGGCTTCTAGGCAACTTTCGGAAGATTTTAAGCGACGCTCGATCATTCCCACTTTGCTCTCTTTAAGGAAATCTTCCCCCTCGTCGGGGCCTCCCCCCCCCCCCCGGACCTCGGACCTCCCCTCGGGAAAATCCTGGCTCCACCCCGAGTAAGAAAGAACATACCGTACTCGCGCGAATAAGCGCTTATTTAAACGGGCTCTTATGAAAACAGAGTGGAAATTGAGTAGCGCTTATGGAAATAGATGAAAATCGAGGGGTTCTTATGGGAAATTATTAAATTCAAGAGGCACCTTTTGAATGAAGAAAGATTATATAAGGACATTACGAATGGTGGTTAGAAAAGATAATCGTACAGAGAACATGGCTCATGACAAGAATGCGTGAATATTTACATAACAACAAAATAGCAGATGCAGTTAGTGGTGGTGGGTAGTGGTTAGCTTGTTGGCCATCGGCCGATTGAGATTAGCAGGATGGCAGGATCTTTGTATTTTTTTTTTTTAAACTCAGATGAGAATGTGCTAAAGGTCGGAAAAAGAAAAAGA